TTCAGGAGAAAGCCTGAGAGAGTCAACTCCAGGTCACTCCCACCCTTCATTAAAAAAGCTGGAAGAAGTCTAGTGTGCTGGCTGGGAAATAACAAGAAGAGAAAGTCTGACCGAAGAGTTATAGCAGTTGAAAGATCTCCAGAAGACAGCAAGACTCCTCTTAGTTATAAATCTGTATTTTGATGGACAGTATAAGCCAGCACTTTTAATCAGGTAGACACTGGGTGTTCGCTTTCCTGCATGTCCATCCTGAATGCCAAGAGCTTCAATTTGCAATGGTGCCAAGCATTCAAAATGAACTGGATTCCAGAATTTCACTCTGAACAGATCACCTCTTTTTATGCGAAGTACAACAGTTTCATCTCAGCCCATGGGGAGTATGTCAAAAAGATGTCTGCAGAGCATTACAGGTTGGATTTTTTTTTTTAAAGCCACCCCACTGTATTACCTTAAAGTAGACAGAGAACTAATGGCTTTTTAATTTCAATTGGTCCAACAGTACAGTGGTGATAATGTAACACAAATCTATCCAAGAAACTTTTGATTTTGCACATGGCAAGGTTTTACTATCATCAGCAAGTAATGCAGGGAACCATGCTTAAAATGACAACAGAAAAAAATTAACTCCTGATAACTCTCGCTGAATAGTTTTCACTATGGACAGTGAATGAGCATAAAAAAATATTAAACAGATTCTGTGTGACTGATAAAACCACATACCTTAACAATTGATCTACTCCACATTTAACAAATGCATTTAAAGTGGGTCTAACATGAGTAAAAAATGTGGCTTCTTACATTTAGGCTTTATCTAATACAGTTGCTTCTCCTTGACACCTCCCTTGGCTGCACCAGCTTAGATTCAGAAGTACAACTCAATCCCATTCAGTGGTTATCCTATTCAGGTCAGCACTAACCTGAGAATCTCCTTGCCATCTTACACCCTCACAATATGCCTATTGCAGCAATACCCCCAGGTAAAGCAGAAGTCAGGATGAAGCTGTTCCCTAGGGCAGATTCAACCCATGGGACACACACGATATTCCTACATAGGCACTGCATAGGCACTTCTTCTTTCCTTGGTTTCTTGTCTAGATTATGAAGCTTGTGATTATGTATAGTTTTAACGTAATCCTTATGAAGCAGGGTTCACCTCTCTCTTCTTATATTCATAATGAAAAGTAGCTTAACTTGGGCTTTGTTTCTCGAAAAAGTGAGTGTTACATAACCAAAAAGTCTGTTTCCCACACCATTCTTCCATTGTTGATGAATTCACAGGCTAATTAATGCTAAAATTGATAAAAAATTGTCAGAACATAATAGTTTTAGGATTTGAAGTTTCATGAAAATCAGCAACCATCTACAGCACAGCCACAGATCTCACCAAGCCCAGGGGCAGCCAGCCTGCTGCCAATCAAACAGCTGGCAGATGAGGAATGAAAGGGAAAACAAGCCTGCCAGAAACACTGGAGAGCTGAGGGCACTCCAGAGACACTCAGGAGATGCAGGAACAAAATGAAAGGTATTCAAAAGCTTAGACATAAGAGGAGGACCTCCATGTACTACAGGAGGAACCATAAACAGATGGGAAAGTATTATTCTGGTGGGATCACAAGGAAAAAATATGAAAAGCCATCTTCATTAGTCTCATTACTCAACCAATAATTTATAAATTACAGCACTAAGCTATAAATCTTTCTTCTCTGCTACATCCATTAGTCTGTATGGCTCACTATTCTCTTCAATGCCACATCTGAATTCTTAGCACTAATCTCACGAGGAAAAATAACTACCTGAAATGGTTCACCTCTAAATTGCATTCCATTCCTTGAAAAATGCACTGTTTTGTACAGCCGAAACCATGCTACATATTCAAATGCAGCAGAAATGGATCTACGAGGGTACACAATTCTGTCTCAGATTATAGAGCCTCCACAGTGATCTTTGTGTTTCCTTTCCATCTCCCTTGCAATATTTCTGTTTCTAGCTCCTCAACCAGAATCAAATCAAAACTCTTAAATCAGGTACCAAAGTCTTGCTATTACTCAGGACAGGATAAAGAAACCAAATGACTGCTTCTACAAGGAACATTACCATGATGATGTTGAAAGACTCTCAGAAACAGTCCCATAACTCTTGCTCTTCCCAACCCCAGCTAACAGCCACAGGACACCAGGCCCAGACAGCTGTAAGTAAGATGACCTCTATCAGACTGTTGGCCATTCTGTCTTACTGATCCTCTCGGTTTTGTCTGACTCCCCACTTGCCATCCTCCCCATCCTGATATTCTCTGTATTGAACAAATTTGCTCCATCCACAATTTGTGGGAATATTAAACAATAAATCACCTTGTATCTCAAAATACACCTGCTACTAAATACTAACACTAATTTCATTTATGAAGAGAAATATATCAGAAATAAGAACCATAAATAAAATTGTTTAATACAATTTACACTCAAAATCTTCCCATCAGGTTCCCCTCTGCTGTTTCCTAGCAAATCTGAGATTACCTAAACTATGCAAACTATGTACCTGATACCTATAAAACACAAGCAAAACAAAAACAAACACACAAATAAAAAAAAACATTATTTTACATAACATTAAGTGTCTAAAGAGAAAGATTTAACTGCTCTTGCAATTGGCTAAATTAGGGTTTTGAGTTTGGTCACCTGAAGAAACCCTACTTTCTAAAGGCCCACCACTAACCATAATGCAAAAAAAAGTAACTAAGTACTGTCGCTGATCACAATAATAAGGGTCCCTAGCCAATGGCTCCTTGGTTCTCTCAAACACTTGATACAAAAAGCCTTTTTTGTTTTTAGTGTTAGAACCAATGTAAACTGGTATTCTCACATAGCAACAATGAAAAAAGTGCTTACAGACTTTTAAAAGCAGCCAAAAGCTCTACATTTCTTGCAGATCGTAGAATCATATTTTAATTTGAGCTCTTTTAATTTTGTGCACTCTTCACAAAATGCATATATTGGGCTCCAAAGGAATTTTGAACTATATTTATTTTTCAATTTGAAGTTTATAGTCATGCTTAAATCACATGGCTTTACCAAAAATTAAACATCCTCCTCTCCGCCTCCAAAAAACCTATGCAACTGCACAGTCTTTAAACTCATGCAAAGTATTTTATTTACTTAATTAAAAACATTTTCATATTTAGATGGTCATTAAATAAATTCTTTATTTTGACTTCTTTGAGTGTGATCCTGACTCCAAGAGTCAGTATTCACCCAAGCCAAGCTCATGTTTTTAAACACTGCTGAGCAGTAAACATCAGTGTTCAACAAAGGCAGATACTGTAACACAAACAGGAGGAGGAGTACACTGAATAAAAATTGGAACACCTACTAACAAACCTACAGCAGTCAGCTATTCCATTGAGAACATGGAGGATTCCTGCTGCAGAACACATAGGAGAATACATTTTGTTTTCTGCTTTCAGGAAAGAGAATTAAGTAAAAAACCCAGCAGATCAGTTTCACGATCGGATACTTTTACCCCTGCCTCACCTTTAATTGCATAAACTGTAAGCCAAATTCTGGACTCATGGGATGGTTTGGATTGGAAGAGACTTTAAAACCCATCCAGTTCTACGCCTGCTTCCTTGGACATGGACCCCTCCCACCAGACCAGGCTGCCCAAAGCCCCATCTAACCTGGCCTTGAGCACCCCAGAGCTTACGTCCTATTATGGTTGCTTCAGTTCTACAAGACATTTGTTCTATTTCTGTAGTTTGGTCCCAGTGAAAAGCGTTTCATTCTTTTCACAAGTTAGATTGCTTAAATCATCCATGAGCATTTGTTTTAATTTTTAAGAAGTAATATCCAAAATCCTCTGAAAATACAAAATACGAATTTTTATTTGTCGTGAATACTTTCCATTCTAAAAAACGTTCTCGAAGGCTTTTGGAATAACGTAGCCTAAGAGAGAAATAACGAAAGCCTAAGAGATTTTGAGAGTCTGGCAATTGTTTTTCTGAGCCTGAGTTACTTAAAAACTCCATCTCCAGCAGGCGATGTTGCGATCTTCACGCCAACACGAAGACGGCTTTTCAGCACTGGACAGCTCCGGTCCTGGAGCGCACGGCTTCCGAGGCAGGCTGAACAGGCAGCCCTGCCGGCGCAGCGCAACTTCTCCTTCCCGAGGCCTGATTCACTAATTCAAGGCAACTGACAGCACAGAAGCATCCCGCATGCAAAACAAAGGGGAGCAGCTTGTTTATTTACCCGACAGTTTCCCTAGAATCTTTAGGCTAAGACAACAGAGGCTTTCAAAACCAAGTGCTGGGGCGATCAAAGCGGCACATCTTAAAACCTTGTTTTCCTGAAACTAAAGTTCTAAGATTTTTTTTTTTTTTTTAAGGATATGTAACAAAGCGTACAATCATTCTCAGGAGGGAGAAGGAAGGCTTCAAAACAAAGCCCTTCCTTTCCCGACGACCATCTCCAAGCAAACCCAACAAGTGCCGAGCGCATCTCACTCCTTTGTTGCTCTCCCGAGTGACGGGCAGAGGCCGGAGGGGCAAGCTAGTTGTAAAGCGGCCCATCGAGTCCCCCGGGAGAGGAAGGTTTACACCTCGTCGCGACCGACCCCCACTCCCGGGGCTTCTCGCAGGCACTCTCTGCCCACAGAGCCCTCCGGCACAGCTCCCTGCCAGCCCCGACCCCGGCGGGGCCGCCGAGCTCCGGAGCAGCCGCCCCCGCCACCCCAAGGGCGGCTCACGGCATCGGGAGGAGGCTCCGGCCACAACGCCGCCGCCTCCGCAGCGCCCACGGGCGCCCGCCCGGCGCCCGGCATCCGTCCTCCTCCCCGCGGCCGCCGGGCTGAGCAGAACGGAGGACGGGGAGGAGGCGCCCCTCGCTCCCCTCAGCCCGGCTGCGCCCCCCCAGCCGTCCCCCTCCTCGTGCCCGGGGGAGGGGAGGTGGGCCGTGGGAGGAGGGGAGCGAGCGGGGACGAGGGGAGCCCGTTATTGGCCTACTTACCATCAATCGCCATGATCCCCGCGGTGGGCCGTACCAACTGGAGCGCACGCAGGAGAGGCGCCGCCGAGCGCCGCGGCTGCCAGACGGGAGCGCCGCTCGGGGCCGGGCGGGGGTGGCGGGGAGCGGGTTTAGGGGGGGGCGGGCCGGCGGAGCGAGCCGGGGCGCGTGACTCCTCCCCCCGCCCAGCGCGCGCGCGCGGGCGCTCGAGCGGCGGCCGTTGAACGGGCGAGGCGCGCGCACGCGAGAGCCCAACGGCCCCGCCCCGGCGGCAGGTGGGCGATGGCCGGGCCGTGCGGGGACGCCCCGCCCGCTATGGTCTGCCCGGGGGGAGCCGGGGGGGGCTTCCCACTGTGACTGAGATGGGGTAGGGGGTACACGTGACCTCCCTCCGCCCTTACAGCTGTGTAGTTAAAAGATTGATTCCTTCTCCCGACAAATAAAGCGATTTCCTCCTTTTAGGGGAAAATTACTATTTTCCCAATAACTGGTCGAGCCAAACAACGCTGAAATATTAGTTTTAGTCGATGGTTCCATCGACTCCACGTGCAGCACCTGAGCCAGGTGTGCTGCACTCCTGCCCGTGCAGGTGTGAATGCCTGCACGTTCCAGTGGCGGCGCTGAAAATACCCTCCTTTTGCTAAGCAAAGCTGTTGGAAGACAGCATACGTCAGAATTAGTTACCCCTCTGCACTGCTCCGCGATGCACGATCACTGCCTGATCACTGAGGCTGCTCCCTCCTGTCCCACCTCTGACTGACTGGGTGCACTGGGCAGACGGCGTCTGAGAGTCAATCCGGTTTTGTAGAGAATAAAGACACCGGAATTCTCACTTTTCAGTGCCTTTTGTTTCCCACTTTAACATTTTGTAACCATAGGATCTGATTTCCTATGGTTTTAGGGGCATAAAACAGTAGTCATGTTCACAAGGTAGGTATCTTCAGACAAATGTGACATCTTCACATTTGTAATTATCTCCCACAAATGCTTGAAGGAAACGTAATGCTAAAAGGGATGAGATGAATTTAGAAGGGTTTAACCTTATGGTACTGGACGCAGCTCTTTTTGAGGGGAGCAGGTTGCTGACTGGTGGGAAGTGGACCGTGGAGGTTCTTTGCTGTGGCTCACATCCTCCCCTCACGCCTTCCTGCCTCCACTCCTGCCCCACTGGTTGCTTCTTCCCCCGACAGAATCACACGGACCATGGAACCCAACCCACAGGACCACACAAAATTCAAACCTTATTCCTGAGAGCGTTGTCCCACCTGTCTCAAGGTCCTCCATCTCCCTCATCGCTGCTTCCGACCTTCATCACCTCCTGCACTCGGAGCAGCCTCCAAAGATCTGCAGATGCTGTCCCACCCCAGATGCCTTCTGTGCTCTTCTTCTAACCCTGCAGAACTCCCCTACAAAAGAAGCAACAAAACTTGTGGTCTTTCTGCTCCCTGGTGAGGCAGCATTCAACACGGGGTGCTTGGAATAAGAAGGAAGATCTTTGAGTAGCTCCTGAGATTAACAGAACAAACAGAAGGGCTGGACTGTGCTGTGGATAAGAACGAGAGGAGGCAGCATGTATGTAAAACTCCTCTGCTGCACAGGAAAGCTGCTTGTACAGTGCTGTTATTGTTTGGAGCTGTTAGGGAACAGAACATGTTCATATATGAAAGCAGCTTTCATGTATAAACTGTCCGAACAGGGAAATTTTCACAAGATCATCAGAAGGAGCATCTTTGATACCAATTTATTTGTTCTCCTAAATGTTAATTTGCTGTTCAAATCATGGAAACATCAATCTCCTCCAGCCTAACCACCTTCAGAGATGTTTTGTCATATGGAAAATTCAATGCATTTTCTCAATTTTATTCCTCACCAAAGTTAGCAAAAGCAACTTAGGAGCCAAAAAGCAAAGTCAGACTGAGCAAAATGGCCATCTCAGCAAACATGTGTCCCAAAGGACAGGCGTTTGTCCAGACTAAAGCAACTGTAAAAAGGATTTTAAAAGAGAAAATGCCAGCAAAGCTTAAGAGCAAATATAGTCCTCTGTACCAGCACTGACATTTACCTCAAATTACCCCTATAATTTCCTATTCTTTCCTAGAAAGTGTTCCAGCCCTAAAGTTTTCTGCACAGTTTGTCTTATTCACTGTATTTCTGACAGCATTACTGTGTTCAGCACAAGAACCAAGACTCCTGTGGGACTGAGTATGTAAGAGTTGAATTGTTATTGTTCTTCTCACCTTTATTTATTTTTTCTTCCCTTTTTCCCCCCCTTTTGGCAGTATCCCAGAACAAAGGAATAGATGTCAGAACATCAGCAAAACATCCCAGGGTGCAGTCACACACCTGTAGAGAATCTGGGATCAGTTTGCAAGATGTATGAATAGTACTGTAAAAATGTTTGAGATCCTCACAAGTTGTCACATTTATGTGGCTCGTGTTTGCAGTTAACATCCTGGAATGCTTTATTTTCATAAGGATATGTTGAAAACCAGACACTAGATACTACTAGATACTACAGCCCAGTGCCATACCAGTCTTATTTTTCACTTGTTATCAAGAGGGACAAATCCTGAACAAAGTACCAAATCTATTTTGGTTTTCGTACAATTGCAGCAGTGTAAGCTGTAGCTTCATCCATTCCCCTCGTAAAAGGAATGCAGCCAATCGGTTCTAAATGTGTCAGAGACTCCCTACAAAATCCAGGGGCAACTCTTAGCTAAAGGTACTTTCATGTGGTGCTATTCATCTGCCACCTGTACAGAAGTGCAAAAATTTGCAAAAGATGTGAATACAGCTCAAAGGGAGACCTTAAGTAAATCAATAGGATATACAAATGATTTGTAGCTTGTCAGTATTTTCCTGTCAAAGGGAAGAACATCACCTGTTGTGACAACATATTTGCTAACAGCTGGTTTATCTGCTAACTGATGTACATATACAAGTTTTATCCTGAAAACCCTAAAGCTTTCAACAAACTGCCTACACAGAAGCTTCCCCCACTGCACTGACATGAAGCCACTTCGGTGATTAATATTAAAAGCTGCTGGAAACCTTAGCATGAGCAAAAATCCATCAAGTCATGAAGGTCTCAGATACTGTGAAAACAAGGAGAGTAATACATTATTATGTAAGTATATATATGAGATATGATATAGTTTTATAGATGTGGAATAGTGACACAACTGTGTTTTAAGACTAACATATCTTACTACTGTAATTTATTTAAATCTTTGTGAGCTACATAAAAATATTTGGTCTTTCTAAGTAGAACTCTGCAACTATTTTTCTCACAACCAGCATGTTTTTATTTCACAGGGAGATTGTCCTGGAATTTTGAGTTATCTGACCCTCGTTATAAATTGATTCTTTGCACATTTAAGGCATGATCCACACCAAACCTATCCAGATTTTCTCTTCTGCCTTAGCCATACCCATCACAGTATTAGAAAATACATGTTTAAAGAGTCTATGCTTAATTAAAATATAGAGTGTATGAATGAAAAGTCTAACTAAAGGGTTAAAAAACACAGACTATGAGTAATCACAGAGGTAGCAGACACAGATTAATAATCTGCTCATCAAAATGCCAGGCAGATATCCTACCTATAACTGTCATGATGTGTACAAAATGGGCTCAAAGTTAAATAAACAGCAGAAGAAATCTTCAAACAGCTGGACATACATTTTCCACTGGGACATTGCCATTTCAATCAGATCTGTAGGTACTTTGCAAATATATGATTTCACTGAAATACTTGTGGGAGGGACAACGTTGAGAGCACATGCAACGTATTTCATTTCAGAAAAAAGCTTGTTTTTCCAAGTCTTTTTACTTATTCTATTTTAAGATAACATTGAAATTTAAATGTACCGTCTTAATGTTATCAAAATAAACTCTTTCTGTTAGAAAACTCAACCTTTTGCTGAAATTTTCCTTAACGGGGTGTTCTAAGATTATATTTGTATGCACGTGCATGCATACACTTGTGTGTGTGTGTTCCTTTTGTCTGGTTGTCTTCCAGTATGGAATAAAAACAGATTTTGAAAGAATTGATGAAAACTCCCACAAAACTGAACTTCTGGTTTTTTTGGGGGTTTTTTGAACTGTTTCTTTCATCGGTTGTTGTTTAAAACCAGAGGCCTTACAAAAGGTCCACTGAGAAGTAGAATGATGTGCAGTTTTAGGGCATTTTACCCGTGCAGATTGTTTAAAGGTATGTAAAAATACCTGGTGCAGCAACATCAAAACAGACAATCCCAAAAGCTCTAAACCAGAGCACTGAAGTTAAAAGCTGACCTCTGAGGGTATCTTCAACTGTTAGCTTTCAAAGCTATGTTTGCTCCAGCAGCTGAAAAGATGGCTAAGGTTTATAATAGAGTGCTGTTCCCTTAATTGATTTGGGATATCAGTTTGCATCTCTCCATAAGAATTTTGGCAGCGATTTTGTGAACAGTGCCAATCAAATTAACAACTTACGTCTGTTCAGATAAGTTTTTCACACAAAGTGCTCATTACCAGAACATTAAATACCTGACCTTTTAATATTAAGGTTTGCACGATCAGGTTGTTGGCACTAAGCAAACAATCTGTGACTCTCAGCCTCAGCTTCTCACTGTTTTTTAGAGGAAGATTAGGAAAGACAGCATGGGTCCTCTGTCAGGAACTGCCTAGCTGTATCTGTTAAGAGTAATATACCAAATACCCTCAAGTCTGCTGTTGTTGGATGAGGATCATAAACCTGACTCTTGAAGCAAACGATCTGGCCAAATACCACTCAGCATATGACTTCATGTTCATGAATAAATGATTGAGAAGTTCAAAAAGAATGTTTCAGTGTTTCAAGCAGTACCTTCCTTCTGTCAAATACAAGGCTCCATGAGGTCAGATTTCCAACTTAAATACATTTGGAAAGAGACCTGCAAGCTATGGCAAAGTGCAAAGATTTTGTTCGGTTTCACATTGCTAATCTATGGGTATGGCATCTGCTACAGAAATAAAAACTGAAAATGTAAATTAAAAAAAAAAAAAGGATTTTAGTGCCTATTATTTTTGCTGTCATTCAGTTAGGCATGTGTCATGTGCAAACTTCAGGGCCAGATAAGTTTGACAATGACTCTTAATGGTATACTCACTA